CGGCTTAGTTATTAATAATACAAAAATTGCCCTAAAAAGTGTTTCCCGTCTATTTATAATACCCAAATATTTGCTGATAAAAATACATTTCGAGAGGTTCTGCGGCCGCACAATTCCATGTGCGCACTGCACTTCTCTTCTGCTCTTGCATGCAGAGGAAATCTGTGGCCGCATAATTATCTCTATGGTTGCACTTCAGCTTTTGCGGCCGTACATTTTGATTGCGGACCGCATTCTCAAGTGGCTTCACACTCGGTCTTCCGCACCATCTTTGAACTTGTCAAACTTTGTCAGTGCAACCAGCTTTTGCAGCCGCATAATTTGGTGTGCGGACCACACTTATACAAACTCCTCAGAGGCTTTAGGGCTTCAGGGCTTCATGGCTTCATCTGCGGTTGCACTTCTATTTATGCGAACCGCATAATCATCTGCGACCGCAGAATTAATTCTGTGGACCGCACTTCTTCTTGCAGCTATCCTTTTTGCCTTGTTGATCTGGAATATTCCTTTTTGATTTAGTTTTTTTCGTTAAGCTCCAATCCTCTAATATGCCTACAATTCACACAATTTTATTAGATTTGGAAATAAAAATTATTACTTTCGGACTAAAATTAAAGCAAGAAGGTATTACAAAGTGGTAAAAATCCACACTTATCAACTCCCCCAAACTTTAGTCTTTGCTTGTCCTTAAGCAAATAGATTAGTTCCCATCTTCTCTAAGTTAAATGTCATTTCAAAGAGTCAATTGTAAGTCATTCATACTCAGTTAGGACCAACAATTACCCATAATACTCATGCATTTTCAACAAGGTGACAAAACATATGTTACGTGCAGATAACTTTAGTGTGACATTTAAGCTTCAAGAATTGACTTCACTCATCAAGGACTCTTGTTTGATCATGTAAATCATGGTGGAATCCAAACTCTTCCTCCTCTACCTTCCATTTTCCATGCTCACTTCAAGAATTAACACTCAATTTCTAGAGCAATAAAGGATTTACTCTTCTCTCACAAAGGAATGTCACAAGTAAAGCTTCAATTACCATAGGCCTGCCCCTCATGTAAATCTCCACTAATATAAGCTCACTCGGTTCAAAATCAAGTAGGACTTCTTTCAGATTGTAATGAAGACTTTAGGATTGAGGTGGGATACCATATGGGATAAGTGGTTACACATTTCCTTAAGCATTCTACTTTTCATTTCTTGGCTCACATTTACCAAACCCTTAGAGCCATTCCTTCTTTTTGGGGGCTAGTGAGACTTGCCATCACTCTTAATTGTTCATTTCATTCTTTATCTCCCTTGATGCTCATACTAGAGATAGTTGTCTCTTTTTGATTTCATCAGTCTCCCTTTTTATTTTTATTTTGGCATTTTCCTTTTTGTTCTTTCTTTTCTTGCCTTCTCTTTTCATGGAGATGATTTCTTTTCTCTCTTTTCAGTGCATTGATATCTCTTTTAGATTCCTCAACCTTTGCCCCCAAGCTTATTAAGCCTTAAGCCACTTATTACATAAGAGTGCTAAGGAAGGCTCGGGTACCAAGAGAGGGTTATGATCAAAATGGATAAAGGCTTATCGTATGGTTACCAACAGAGAAAGGCTTAAGGCTCAAATGGATTGAATAGGGATAACGAACATATGGTGGCAAATATAAAACTCAAACGAACCAAGGAAAGCCTACAATTATCTGTCAAACCAAGCAAACCTAGAATTTCACCTTGAAACACATTCGGGGAAAGTTCTAGACTATCCACTCAAGTAGTTGGACAAGCAACAAAATGTCACCTCACCGCTCATGCAACTAGACCATAAAAAAAGATAAAGTCTAAAACCCACAACGATCACAGTCAAGTTAAAGATCACTATGATCCAATCAATCACTTAATGATTATCAAAGTCAATTCAAGAACCTCAAAGTCACTAACTAGAGCTATTTTATTCATAAAACCTTGCTTCAAACTATAAGCATGTAGTTAAGTGTGTTGGTGCCAAATGAAACATGAATGACTCTTTTAGAGAATGACTTAGTTAGTACTTTTATTCATTACTACTTACTACTACTATTACCTAAATATGAAACAGACTTATTCCCTTAAGAAAGTTATCATGTTATCTATCCTCGGGAAGAGTCACCCGGTTCACACAAAAGACAACTTTTGGAAAGAACTATGGCATTAAGAAAACCAAAGGCTTATTATCAATACTACTATAAAAAATCATAAATGCTACTAAAATGAAATGCAATTAAAGATAAACAACTAAAGAAGCTAATGAAGGTAACAACTACTAAATATAACNACTCCAACCCCTCTCCCCCGAATAAAAATAAGCATTGTCCCTAATGCTTATTAAAATAAGATCAAAGAGTAGAGAGGGAGAAGAAACTCCCTAAGTGTCCTCAGTCATCACAGTGTCCCCAGCAACATCAGTCTCAGCCAACTGAATATCATCATCAAGTCTGGGAGTGGCCGGAGAAGTGAACATCGCACGACACTGCCTCAGCAGTGTCAGTGGCAAGCCACGGCTCCTCAATGTGAGCAGCGAGATCATCCGATGAAGATGGAGCTGGGTGGGGCTGGGAGGGGTCAAGTAGCATGTCAAATGGAAAATCTTCGGCCTTAGCTAACCATGTCACCTCATCTCGAAGCTCATCAACTGACTTCTAGCTGGCCTGTGACTTCCTTATTTTCTTCACTTGCTTGGTCAATCCCTCAATCACAGCACCTTATTGTACCAATGTATCCATGATGACCTTCTGATTGTCCAAGACTTTTCTAATCTTTTCATCAATGCCAGAGGGTCCCGGGGCGCTCGTGTATATGTCTGCCCTGCAACAGTACTAGAGATTTCAGGCAACTTTGAAGTAGTTGCTTGCATCTAGTTATTGAGACTCACTAATGTATAGGAGACTTGCAAAGCAGATAATATACCTATAGGCATGGGGACCGACCTCAGAGCTAGAGTAGGAAATGCAGTAGGAGCTGTAGGAGTTTTAAGAGGAGCTAATGATGGTGGCTCGGGCATAGCAGCTGCTGCACTGGTAGAAGGCTCAGCTGATGTGGATGGAATATCAGACGAAACATCAACTACCACTACCGGCTCATCAGACTGGCCAGCAATAGTAGAAGGCTGAGCACTCTTCTTCAGGTTCCTTGGATAATGCAACTTGTACCAATCAAACGGCCATGCCGGCTTGATTTTGGTATCAAATGGCCTGGGCTCCACCTTGGTGTCTGCCAGATACTCAGTAATAGTGTTGGATTAGGGGTAAGAGGTGTTACTCTGCTGTGCCACAAAGGAGATTTTAGCCAACATTAGGGCACCCAGATTGATCAGGTATCCGACCATAATAGAAGCCTCTAGAATAGCTCGAAGAATGGGCAGGTTGTTCTCATTAAGGCACGAGTTAAGCCTGCTAAATACAAAGGTTTGCCATTCTTTAGCCTCGAAACTCAGAGTGTTCCGGAGGATAGGCACCCCAGCAGCAATCCAAGGAGGTGTGGATCTAGATGCTAGAATCTTCGCAAGCCACAACCTAGCCTCTTCTTTCAAAGCCAACATCTCTAAATACTCTTTCGGCTCCACATCATCAAACACCAAGTACGCATTCAGAGTATGCTGATGATATTTCACCTTCAAGTTTCGCACATTGGTGACCTTTGTCTCTTTGAGAATATGTGTTGTGTTGGCTTAGAATTCCCGGACAAGATGCTCCTTTACATCCACTAGTTTCTCAGTAAACAACATCTACCCTTTTCTTTTAGTAAATTGCTCCAAGACTGTGGGGTTGTATTTGTCAAGATCATTGAGTAAGAACTGCTGCTCATGAGTCAAGGACCTAACAGGCCACCACATTCGGAAATCAAAAAATGTCGACGGCTCACAAATCTACCTTCTCAGACCTCCTTCTTCTTTGACCTAGCCAAACCTGCCTGTGCACCTATACCCCCTCTCCCATCATCCGGGGCATCATCAAAATTAGAGCTCGTGGCAGTTGCATTGGACTTCTGACTATCACTCCCCACACCTTGGAAGTTTTATGGGATGTAGAAGGCACATCCAGAGTCTCAAGCTGCCTCTGTGGTCTGGATTGTTCTTCAGCGTGCTCCTTCGGTAATGACACAGAATTCCCCTCAGCGGCTTCCATAGACGGGGCATATGAGCTAGACTTTGAGAGGTCTCTACCTCTCCCACGGCCTGATGTTGCTTTGTCAACCCAACCTAGCATGCTTTATCAACATACCTACTACAAACTACCCCACATGGACACACTGAAGGAATATAATAACAGATGACCTAAAAAGAAGTTAAAAAGGAAAAATAAATTCAAAAATATAAATAAAGTAAAATCAACATGAAATGAAGCATACCGGATGGTGTAAATGTTCAAAGATCCTAGTGAATTCAAATGGCGGTGTGTGATTGAAAGTGCTAAATCCTCAGGTAAACTCTCAGAATAATAGTAACTTTGCAAATTGGGAAAAGTGTAAAATGAGACTATCAGTTCTATTTATACTCAGATAAATTGGAAGGTTAAAGAGGCGAGTGAGACCACACAATTTCAAGTGCGGGCCGCACTCTGCTACCTGGCCTTCAGTGGTCAAACTCTCCTGTGTGGTCCGCAAAATTAAAAGTATGGCAGTACAATTTTCCAAAAGTCCGCATTTTTGCCCCACATTGACCGGTGAAAAGTTCAGAGGACCTTTCATTTGACATCTAAGTTTGCCCATGCAAGTGCGGTACGCAGATGCACAAGGGCTTCTGCGATGACACTCTTTTGTTGCGGCCGTACAAAGGAAAAGAGCAGTCTGCATTTCCTGTTTTGATAACACAGCATTGTCTTGCCATTTCTCATCTCTCATCCCTATAGCACACTTCAAATTAAGTTAAAACATGTAATAACATCTACCTAAAAAGAGAAAAAGGAAAAGAACTTGGGTTGCCTCCTAAGAAGCGCCTTATTTAACTTTGTGGCACGACGCGATGGCATAGCATCCTCATGTGAAATAAATAACCGCCGCCACATGACTCTCTCCAACGTTTCCCAAGTAGTGCTTCACCTGGTGACCATTGACTCGAAATATTTCATTCTTTTTGTTCTTCAAATCCAATGCATTGAAGGGTGTCACACCAACAATTTCAAATAGATCACTCCACTTGGACTTAAGTTTCCCAGGAAACATCCTCAACCTTGAGTTAAACAACAACACTAGATCACAGGCCTTGAGCTCTTTGTTACAAATGTACTTGTCATGAAGACATTTCATCTTTTCTTTATACAAGGACAAACTCTCACAAGTATGATATCGGAACTCATCCAGTTCATTCAAGTGTGTAACCCGCAAGTTAACAGCTTCATCCCAATCAAGATTCAATTTCTTCAAGGCCCACATTGCTTTGTGCTCTAGTTTCACCGGAAGATGACAAGCTTTCCTGAACACTAACCGGCATGGAGACATCCTGATAGGCGTTTTATAATCCATCCGATATGCCCATAGTGCATCATCAAGCCTCTTGGACCAATCTGCCCGGTTTGTATTCACGGTTTTAGACAAGATACTCTTAATCACCAGGTTGGAGACTTTCACATGACCACTAGCTTGTGGCCGATAGGTAGTCATGGCGTTATGAGTAACACCATACTTGCTAAGTAAAGTGTCGAAAGCCTTGTTGCAAAAATGTGACTCCCCATCACTTATGATTGCATGTGGAGTACCAAATCTTGTGAAAATATTCTTCTTCAAGAAAGACACTACACTTCTAGCCTCATTGTTGGGTAAGGCAACGACCTCAACCCATTTGGACACATAATCCACCGCGACCGAAATGTAAGTATTTCCACAAGAAATCACAAAATGGCCCATAAAGTCAATTCCCCAAACATCAAAGATATCAATCTCCAAGATGGTTGTAAGAGGCATCTCATGTTTCTTTGAAATTCCACCGGCCTACTGACATTCATCACATCTTTTTACCAAGTCATTTGCATCTTTATAGAGACTCGACCTATAGAAACCACAACTTAGAACTTTAACCACCGTTCATGCTCCACCATGATGACCACCATATGGCGAAGAATGATAAGCTCCAAGAATATCACCTTGCTCTTCTTCCGGAACACACCTCCTAATCACCCCCATCCGTGCAAATCCGAAAAAGGTATGGCTCATCCCAATAGTAGTCTTAACAATCCCTTTTTAGCTTTTTCCATTGGTTTGAAGAGAACTCATCCAAAATGATACCACTCACAAGAAAATTTGCCAAGTCCACAAACCACGGTACTTCTTTCATTGATAGTGCTAAAAGTTTCTCATCGGGGAAAGAGTCATTGATTTCAAGGCCGTCATGTGGCCTCCCCTCCTCCTCCAAATGAGACAAGTGGTATGCCACTTGATTTTCACTACCTTTCTTGTTTTGAATATCAATATCAAATTCTTGCAACAAAAGTACCCATCGCATCAACCGAGCTTTATATTCATTTTTGCTCATAAGATAGCGAAGTGTTGCATGATCCGTATGGACAATAACTTTGGTACCCATCAAGTACGGGCGGAACTTATCAATTGCAAACATAATAGGAAGGAGCTCTTTTTCCGTAACGGTATAATTGACTAGGGCACTATTCATGGTCTTACTATCATTGTAAACTGGATGAAGAGCCTTGTTGATACGTTGTCCCAAAACAGACTCTACCCCTACATCACTTGCATCACACATGAGCTCAAACGGCAAACTCTAATTTTGAGAGGTAATGATAGGAGTAGTTGTCAACATGAACTTAAATTGTTCAAAAGACCTCATACAATCATCATTGAAATAAAACGTAGCATCCTTCTCAAGGATCTTACACAATAGGCTCACCACTTTAGAGAAATCTTTGATAAAGCGCTGGTAGAAACTCGCATGGCCTAAGAAACTCCACACACCCTTTACCGAGGTGGGGGTGGAAGCTTAGAAATAACCTCAAACTTTGCCTTGTCAACTTCAATATCATTCTTTGTGATCTTATGGCCAAGTAAAATGCCTTCCTCAACCATGAAATGATATTTCTCCCAATTGAGCACCAAATTCTTTTCCTCACATCTAGCCAACACTTTGACCAAATTTGCAAGACAATCATAAAAAGAATCTCCAACCACCGAAGTCATCCATGAAGACCTTAAAGTAGTCTTCCACCATATCCGTGAAAATAGCCATCATACACCGTCGAAAAGTCGTCGGTGCATTGCACAAACAAAAAGGCATCCGTTTGAAGTCAAAAATACCATAAGGACATGTAAAGACAGTTTTCTCTTAATCTTTCAGAGCAATAAGAATTTGGTTGTATCCCGAGTACCCATCAAGAAAATAATAGAAAGCACGGTCAGCCAATCTATCGAGCATTTGATCCATAAAAAGGAGGGAAAAGTGATCCTTCCTTGTGACTTTGTTGAGCTTATAATCGTCCATACAAACTCTCCACCTGGTGAACGTTCTTGTGGGTATCAACTCATTCTTATCATTGGTAACAGACGTCATGCCTCCATCTTTGGAGCACATTGAACCGAAGAGGTCCATAAACTATCAGAAATGGGGTAGACATCCCCGGCATCCAACTACTTGATAATCTCTTTCTTGACCACTTCTTGCACAGCTTCATTGAGTCTTCTTTGATGTTCAATGGACGGTTTAGCTCCATCATCCAACTTGATATTTTGCATGCAAAATGTGGGGCTTATACCCCGAATATCCACCAAAGACCACCCAATAGCCTTCTTCCTCTTTTGCATCACCGCCAATGTGGAATCAACCTGCACGTTAGTCAAACAAGAGGAAAGAATAACCGGTAAAGTAGAGCAAGGGCCAAGAAATTCATACCGATGGTGTGGTGGAAATAGTTTTAACTCCAAAGTAGGTGGCTCTTAAATAGAAGGCTTTATAGGAGGAGTCTTCCTATTTTCAAGATCCAAAGATAATATATGGGGTGCATAGTTGTACGACTCCATTCCTTGTAAAGAGTTCACACATTCCATGAAACCATCCATCTCATCATCATCGAAGTTAAGCAAAATGCTTCCAACACATCACAAACATTGATTGTAGCACTTGTATAATCAATTATAACATCGGTCACCAAGTCCACAAAAGAACACACTTCATTGCTATTTGGTTGCCGCATAGATTTGTAAACATGAAAAACCACTTTTTCATAACCAAACCGGAAAGTGAGTTCTCCGGCTTCCATATCACAAAGAGCCTTACCCGTAGCAAGGAAAGGTCTTCCAAGAATAATAGGCACTTCATAATCAACCTCATAATCTAGAATAACAAAGATCGCCGGAAGAATGAACTTATCAACTCCGACCAATACATCCTCAATCACTCCCAACGGCCTCTTCATGGTACGATCGGGAATTTGCAACCTCATAGATGTGGGTCTTGGTTTCCCAATTCCTAAATTTTTAAAAACTGAATAGGGCATTAAATTGATATTCGCCCCAAGATCACAAAAAGCTTTAGCAAAATTAGCACTCCCAATAGTACAAGGAATCGTGAAAGCATCGGGATCCTCCAACTTATGAGCCATGGAATGAACAATTTCACTCACTTGATGAGTGATTTTATTAGTTTCAAAATTCATCTAACTCTTCTTGGTCACAAAATCTTTCATAAACTTGGAATAATCGGGGATTGGTTCCAAAGCTTCTACCAATGGAACATTACTAGAGAGACTTTTCGTTATTTGAATAAACTTCTTGAATTGATTCTCACTAGTTTTCTTGGGAAGTCTTTGAGGAAACGGAGGTGGACGCTTAGGCAAGGGTGCCTTAACCTTTTGCATTACCGGTTCTGGTATGTAAATAATGTGCTCCCTAGATGGATTCACCTCTTCTTGATTCTCCTCCACACTATCATCAATGTCAATCCGAACCTCATCACTTGCTTGAACATCATTGTTTGGGATTTCCTGCTCTTGGATCACTTGGTCGCCTTTGATTTGAGGTGGGTGCATTCGCACCTCTTCCATTTCTTGTGATAACTGCCATGGCATGCCCTGTGTTATTACCACCCTTTGGGTTTACCACTGTGTCACTTGGCAGTTTACCCTTAAGATGAGTATTAAGAGCTTGAGAGCCCCATTCGAACTTCAAGATTACGGATTGAGGTGGCATGCGAGGCAAGTTCGGCATCCGAGTCCGCATTCTTCTCCATATTTTGCTTAAACATGTTGTCAATACGGCCCATTTTATTGTTTGAAGAACTTGAAACAAGGGAAGGATAAGGGGGTGCGTTGCTAGGTTGTTGATACATTGGGGGACTCTGAAAACCCGATCCTCTATTTCCATGATTGTTAATATTTTCCCAACTTCCTTTATTGTTGCCTCCCCAATTTCCTTAATTTTTGTTGTTGTGCCAATTCCCTTGATGGTTAGGAACCCAATTGCCTTGTTTAGTATGAGAACACCATTGTTGTTGATTGGAGCCTTGGAAATTGCTCAGTTTCCCTTGGTAATTGTTAACATATTGTACCTCTTCTTCTTGCTCATGATAAGAATCATCTTGATCAAAACTATCATCATCTTGTGCATAATTTTACACTCGGGTTTGAAATTGTGGACCCTTGGTCCTTTTCTTGTTGACAAACACATTTACCCCTTCCATAGCATGAACTTGCTTTGGATCTTGTACTTGATTATGTTGGGCCTTAGCGAGTTGGGTCATAGTTGTTGTCAATTCGGCAATGGCTTGCCCATGGTTTTGCAACTCTTTATGAAGAAGAATCATGTTAGGATCACCTTGGAGAACATTAGCTCGGGATTTCCAAGACGATAAAGATTTCGCCATCTCATCAAGAATCTCACATGCCTCCGCATAAGGTGTTGTCATAAAGTTGCCTCCGGCCAATTGATTGACCACACATTGGTCCATAGTATTAATACCACAGTAGAAAGTTTGTTGGATCATGTTGTCGGTCATATCATTGTTCAGGCACTCCTTCACCATTGTCCGGTACCGCTCCCAAATTTCATAAAAAGGTTCATTGGGCTCTTGCTTGAAATCCAATATTTCATCCCGAAGAGTAGCCATGTGCCCGAGAGAGAAAACGTTTGAACTGAATTTTGCCGCCAATTCATCCCAAGTATAGATAGAATGATTAGCCAAGAATTCCAAACAATCCAAAGCCCTATCCTTAGTGTGAAAGGGAAAAGCCTTAGCCTCAAATAATCTTCCAAAATATTTGTTTGTTTTCTCCCCCAACATGTATCCACAAAGCCCTTTAAATGTTTATAAGCATTTTGACTTGGCGCCCTGGTGAAATAGCCTCGTTGCTCAAGCAAAGTAAGTATCACATTGGTAGTTTGAAAGTTTCTCACCCTAATGGAACTTGCATAACCTTCATTGGGCAAAATCCGATGTTGCGCCACTTGTAGTTGTGGTGGTGGTGGAGGAGGGAGAGGTGGAGGCACATTGTCTTGTTGAACATGGCCTCAGTGATTTTGTTGTGGAGCTTGAGGCATTTCGTCAAGTTTCTCCTCTTTGTCGTCCACCTCTCGCAATGGCATGTTTCCAAGTTCGTTGTTCGTCATTTGGAACCTACGATTACTTCAACAAATTAGAATCACGAAAGTAAAAGAAGATA